GCGGAGCCGGGTAAGTCAACTAGTTGTATATAGTCCATGTAGCGTTTTATCGCATAGTGGAAATTCTATTCTATTAGGTTGTCCGGAAATCAATGCCCGTTTTGAATTTCAACCGCAATAACTCATACACTTCTCACTTCTAAGTAGGTTGCAAAGTACCATTCGATAGAGCAAAGCAAGCTCTACAAGAAGGCCATTTTGCTTTTGCAACAGCTCTCATCCACCTCGAGTTTTGAACCAAAAACTAAAAAGACTCAGCAGCCCGAAAAATCGAAAAAAATCGTAACTCAGTTCACAAAAATCCTACAAAAATTTTACTTGCTCACGTAAACACTTACCATATAAGACATCTATATACGCCTTTGCCGTATTTTTCCCTCTATTAGAAACCAAGAAAACGGAAATTTTTGTGCATTTGCCAAAGTGGTGATGTGTCGTCCCCACATAGGTAGTTGTTTACCACAAGCCTCTATAGAAGTACTGACTTAAATTTTTAGCTTTCTACAAGCTTTAGTTCTTGAGAAATACCGAATATAGTTTTCCCTAGTTAGGTGGTCAAAGCTAAAATCCAAATTTCTCGAGAACTAAAGCTTATAGAGGGCTGAGAATTTACATTTGTACTTCTACGGGTTTGTAGTATACAATTACCTATTGGGGACGGCACAGCATCACTTTGGCAAATGCACGAAAATTTCCGTTTTCTTGATTTTTAATAGAGGGAAAAATACGGCAAAGGCGTATATAGATGTCTTATATGGGAAGTGTTTACGTGAGCAAGTAAGAATTTTTGTAGGATTTTTGTGAACTGAGTTACGATTTTTTTCGATTTTTCGGGCTGCTGAGTCTTTTTAGTTTTTGGTTCAAAACTCGAGGTGGATGAGAGCTGTTGCAAAAGCAAAATGGCCTTCTTGTAGAGCTTGCTTTGCTCTATCGAATGGTACTTTGCAACCTACTTAGAAGTGAGAAGTGTATGACTTTTTGCGGTTGAAACTCAAAACGGGCATTAATTTCCGGACAACCTAATAAAACAAAATTTAATGGAAAAAAATTTGTGAATCACAACTTTTCATGGATTGATCCAATTGGCACAAAGTCATCTAATAGTAAAAAAGAGTAGGTTATACTTAATGTAAAAGTAGTAGAGGCTGCTAGACTTTCCACTATTTCTGAAAATTGAGAATCAAAAATATCATAACTTGAGAGTATATGTTTATCAACTTTTAGCGCCGCTACATATCAGGGCTCGGTACAGTGGCTTGTAAGCAAGCTGAATATCGTTTTTGAGACAAAAAGCAAAGAAGGTTCCGTTTTTGGGATCACAAAAAGACTTTTTTTTATGGTCGACGTTTCGTTTTGGAGATTTTTTAGGAATTATGTTGGGGGGGGGGGGTCAAAGGGGACTTCGTTTTTTGCATTCTGAACTAGCCACCTCGTGCCGAGCCCTGCTACATATTAACAAAAAAATTTTTCTAAGCACAAGCAGAAACTGCATGATTTTCTCTTTTTATCTTGTACGGGCTCATTTAATTTGCGGAACTTGTGGATTTTCGAAAAATTTTGGTGCATAACTTTTTTCCAAACTAATAGTCTTATATCAACTTCTGTTTCTTCCTTTCCTTGGAAAAGAAAGCTTTGTTTTTCAGCATAGCTTCAGATTTTTCGGTAGAGAAAAAGGCTGGAACTGAAAAATTTTTATAAAAAGCAGTAAATCTCCTTATAATTTTTCTAGCGTTTCTTTTATGGACATCCTTGGGTTGTTCGTAATGAACTCAACTATACTAATTTTTACTGTGACATCGATTTTAAAGGGAATATCTCACTTTCAAAAAGTCTTTCTTGCAGTCTGAATAGATATGGTTTAGAATTGGGCTCTACGAAGATTTTCTGCACCCACTTGAGTTTTTTGCTCCTGTCCGATAAATTTATTACATGGCCCAAATTGTAAATATTTGGAAAGAACGAATGGTTTTTTTTTACGAAGATGGAAGATATTCCCGAAGAACTTTATACTCAAGTCGGTAATATCGCTTTTTCCTTAAGACATAGTGATGTGGGACAAACCTCGAAATCTGATTTAAATACTTGTGGAGATTGAAATGTCCGCCATCTGAAAAGAGTAGCCTATCCGCGGAGTACTAAAATCTGATTCTCTCAAAGCTGTATTCCGTTATGTCCAACTTCCACTCATTTCTCGATCGAATGGGTAATGTTGGGAGAACTTTTTGACGACTGTTTCAAAAAATGTGGAAATTTACCGAGAATTTTCCACAGTGATGCTTTATTTTCCAATTCATACGTGAAAGCAATGTCTTGACACCGCACTTTCGGATGCAGTTTAGTAGTAATAGCTATTCGACTTTTTTCAAGATCTGCCGGTCCCAAACACAAAAAGTTATTTCCCGCTAACCTAATATCAAGTTGGATCAAATTTCGCATATTTGATGATGATTTCGGGCATTTTATGGTTCGATAAAGTTCCATATAAATCCAATATGGGTTATATGAAACTTTATTATTCTATTATTCGCCGATTTGGGTTTCTGTATATAAGGACCTATCCCAGTGGAACCCTTGGTGGTTTTCTTGCAAAGAATATGGAAAATGATATCGTTCCTGGCGTTCCAAGAATTTCTTGAAGGCCGGTATGGGGGGGGGGGGGGGATAGGATAGGGCTTGTAAAATAGACCCGCTCTCCTAGTTTTCAAATCCTTCAAATTTTTTGTAGGCATGCACCTTGAAAAAATTGTAAAGCAAATGCGACCTTCTCTTTTTAAAGTACAAGAATATCATTTACTTGAAAAAGAAAACAAATGAAATATTATTAGTATGTCTCCTTCTCTAGTGCTGATACTTTGCTTTGTAGAGCTTCATTTCATAGAAATCAATGAACAAAGTCTAAAATCTACCATAAATTAAATGTTTACATTCATTAAGCCTTCTTTCTTTTTGTTTCTCTCCACTTTTTGTTGCGAATGACAACGTCAGACACATAATCTTCAACCCTCGGGTCTTCAAAAGATTATCGGCTTTGCAACGCACTTGATGTGGCGTTCAACCCCCCCCCCCTTCACGCCTTCGTTGAAAACTCTTGATCATTAAGTAAGACCATTCCTTGAATTTAAGAATGTTTTGCAGCTTTTAAAGAACAAAATGACGATATAGGGACGAAAACGTCATGTTTTCCTTACATAACTAATTTTTTTCGAAATATATGCAAGTCTAATCGATCTCATGCCTATTTCCTAAATCGTCCCTATACAAGCAGCTGTAAAAATATTAAACATGATAGAGAGAGAGAAATCGATTCATTTCAATGGCTGAATAAAAAAATAACACCATATTAAGCCACGCTGTCACATTGTGTCGCTGATTGTTATCATAATCCTGCTGAATATGATTTCTTTCATATTAGGAGTTCAGAGTGCTTACCGTCTTTCATTTTAGTTCAAAAAATTCGGAATGGAATTTTCTGGATTATTTTTGACTAGCTGCGTTGCCAAGAGGCCCGGGCGGGACCGGGGAACGCCAAAAGGCCCGTCTGCTTCAAGATGTTTGCTTATCATTCCTCCACTTCCTTCAGATCATATTTTCTCTTCCTCTCCTGCTTCAGCTTCAAGTCAGTTCCAGCACACGTTTAGTATCCGTGGTGAATTTGTCCTCCTTGACCGGCTCGCTTCGTGACGCCGCATCCTCCTCACCGCAAGATGCAAATGATCTCTACCGCCGCTTACTACTCAACTTGGAGAAATGATTGATATGCTTTCAATTAAATATTAGTAAACAAATCAATAAATCGATAGAAAGATTTAGCGAAAAGTCGCGAAAAGTAGCCTATCTTCTGCGCCGTGTTTATTTATAGGGGAACAAAATTCAGCCTTTTCAGTTCACATAGAAAGGAGTCTATAAGCCACAAACATCCTAACAAACAAAGGTACAGTGTTTGAGTTTTATATATATAGATTACTGGAGCAGTTTTTTTAGAACAGACAAAAGAGAGCTGATCGTTTTCTTTGGGGAGTATTTTTTTGTTGAAATGGCAGTAAGTTTTCGGGAAAAGCTCGGAATAAGAGATTGTATTACTCTGTAAACTGTATTGTCAATTTATATTTGATTAAAATTGTCAAATTTATAGACTTTTCATCCTTACTACCCTAATTTCACGCGTATAAGGCGCACTTTTTCGTATTTTCAAGCGAGCCGCTCAGCCGTTTCACTGTATTCCGGAAAGAAATCTTTACATCGCACGATTCTCTCAAGCAATATACAGCACGTTATAGGGTCTGAAGTCCTTTGGCTTGTCTGGGCTGGTCGATTTTGGAAAAAAATCCACCGCGTCTTATACGCGTGAAATTAGGGTACTATAAATTCTTTCATGCCATCTAAGGGTTGAAACGAAATGGAGTTTAATAATTTTTTGATTTTCAGATTCAGCTTTACAATTGCACGTTTTGAAATCACAATGCAAGAAAAACAATAAACGCAACAGTATCAAAAATTGGAAAATTTCTAGCATCGAGTTTTGACGTCAAGATTTTTTAGATGAAGTGTTTTCCAACTATTCTTGATTTTTATGCACCACAATTTTCCTACTACGTAAGTCTAGTTTAGACCATGACTTCTTTTTAATAACAGTGATTTTCGGGAAAAAAATTAGGATTGGAGGATTCATATTATATCGTAAATTCTTTTTGCTAGAGAATTAATCGAATTCAATGTGCAAGGAAAATAGTCTATACTGAAAAATGGAAAGATTTCTGGTCTTCAAATTTGAAATTTTTCGTTGCTATTTAAATTTAGATGTTTTTTCATTTTTCTTCTGATTTTTAGTGCACTTGGTTATAGCTACAATTTTAGTGAAAAACTGGTTTTACGATTCTGTTTTAGAATGAAATGTTTTAACACGAAAAGCTATACTTTTCAGGAAATTGCCAAGAAGTTGAGGAAGCATAACGAATGTGCAATTTTTCAGCGTCGAAAGTGGGAAAACTAATGAAAATTTCAGAACGATGTACAGCGAGTTATTCATCCATGCAAGCCGAGGAGGAGCAAAAGGCACATCGTTGAATTTTGAAAGAGGCGAGCTCAGCTCAAGAGGTGAGCTCAGCTCGTAACTTTTGGGACTTTGTGGGAATAGATCCATTTATGTGTAAATAAATAAAATAGACGATAAACAGAAAAATTCAGCACTTTATTGTAGGGGGGGGGATCCCCATACGGGGCTGCACGAGCGAGGGGATATCGATCTTCCGGCTGTGCTGGGGGTGGCTGAGTGGAGTGGAGCCGGGGTGGTGAGTCTTCTGAACCCTCGAACGATGTGGACGACAACATAATTGACGACGTCGTCTCCTTCGCCCCCCCCCCCTCTTCTCCCCCTTCCTGTCTTTTTGCCGAAATGGTCTATTATGATTTTGCCCCGTTTCCAGTTGAACGGAGCCTTCACCGCCGCTGCGGCAGCGCCACCACTCACTCTCGTCGTCGACGGCACTTTTGCACTTTTGCGCTCGCTGTCACGTGAATAAAAACAGCAATTTTCAAAACGTTTTCCGCGCTTTTCATTCCGTTTTTGATTCAATATCCTTTTGACGATGCGCCTCACAACGCGACAACTCGTCCTTATGGCAACAAGCAGATCCTCAAGAGACGAGTTAAGCGCTTTTCATTCATCACTTGGGTTGGGTATTAAGGCAATGCGTGCATGAGTTCCCGTTTGCATTGCTTCTCATCGAGCACTTTTTTTGGGGAAACGTGGGATTTTTTTTGCATTTTTTCACTGTATAAAATCTTCGGAGTTTTCTTCCTCATTTTATGTCATGCAATAGGAAATTTGAAACTCTTACTGTCTTTGTAAGCCTTGGACTTGCTCTCTCTCGGGTTTCACTTTTTGAGCTTTGGGAAATTGAGCTCCGTTGCAAGTTTTCTATACCGAAGGGTTCAACAAGGGTTAAACTCCGAATCGCCGTCTTTGCATTTTTTTAAACTTTTTTCTCCTATTTTCTTTGATTTTCTTCATAAATTTCATCTATGATCGTCATAAGATATTAAGAGTTGACGAATAACTGCCTTTATTTCCTTTTCAAATTTTAGAAACTCTACAAGCTTTCTAAAAGTTTTAAATTTGCATCATCCATGGGGATGATAAAGTCTACCTAATGGCATGGTCGAAGCCGTAACACTAATTTACAAAGTTTATTTTTTTGAATTTGTCGCCTGTTAAACGTTGTGCTTTTTCTCTTCTATAATTTTTCTAGAATTACTTTTACAAATATATCCCATATCGGACATTTGGTGTCTCTAGGTGTCCCAAGAAGATGTGCACACTGTTTGATTTTGAATAACTCTCTTATTACGAGGTCTTTCAAGAAGCGGTAAGCGCCATTTTGTAAGGCTGGCTTCAACTTAGATTTGCAGTATGGAGAGAGTCACCGATCACTCTTCGTTACTGTAGGATTACGGTAGAAACTTGAAAGAGGGTTTTGGTTAGGAAAGGCCATATTTTGCCTCAGAAGAAATCAAAACAGCCTGAAAACTTTTACACTAGGCCAATTAGAGTTGCTGATTCTAACTGTAAAGTTCCCAACCTATTTTGTGTTTCACTGAAGAGTCATGCGAGGTAAGCAGTAGCGGCCATTTTCTCAATGTTCCTGAAAAGTGAGGTTACACCGTTTAGAAAGTTTCGCAATCTTGAGAATAGTTGAGTATTGAAGTCAGCGTCCCTAAAAACCCTATTACACAAGTTTTCACATCTTTTTGAAAATTTGTGAAATGGCACCTTTTCCACAGTGACACCATATGTTCCAAGTTTCTACCGTATTCCTACAGTAACGAAGAGCGTTCGGTGATTCTCTCTATACTGCAAGTCTAAGTGGGGGGCGGGCGTTAGGTACCCTGCCAAGGTGTGGGCGTTAGGTACCCACCCATCAGTGGTAAATACTAAGCCACGCCCCTTGGTTGTTTTAACAGCGGGTACCTAACGATACGCCAAATCCTAGCTGCTAGAACAGCTTACGTAGCTCGCTAAAGTGCTGGCACTTGCAACCCACAGATAGAAGATAGTAGGAGGAAATTCAAAAAATGCGCGAATGAAGCAAGTTTGTAGGCAACCTTTTTCCATTGCTTCCTTTCAATCAATTTTGAAATCCCATTCGGTGATGAAAGTTAAAACAGGGTAAAGCTTTTGTAAGCTAATCTAACCGATAGTCAGCGGAAATCAAAAAAGTAAACTCTGTAGAACTCCAATGAACCAAAATTCAAAAAACTGCTCCAACTGTATTTTTGACAATGAGAAGTGGAACCGATTGGAAGAAGAGCTTCGACGAGAATTTGTCATCAGGAATAGGAACTTTGAGGAGGACTATGCGACTACCCATTAATTAATGGAAAGGCCACTAGCTCTATCTCAATCAATAAAAATTTTACATTATAGAGCTATGCCAACTTCGGATGAGTGACCAATAGAATGAAATAGGTTGACGAAATCTTTCGCTTCTTAGTGAGTTACAAAAAAATTCATAGCTTTGGTTGGATAAATTGATCTATCTTAGCTGCTAGAAAAGAGAATGACTATGAAACACTGCGATATGAAAGTCCTCCAAAAAACTACAGAAAACACAGGCATGATAAAACACAGTAGCTCAATGAAATTTTCATACGGGATGTGGAATCTCCCGAGATGGAAAGATGTGCTTATCAATGTAATTTCCCACAGATCTGTTGGACTCAGCAATGACCGAATAATAGCGGTAATCTACAACAAGTTCAGTTTTCGTAGTTCACAATCGTGTGGCAATATTGGCGGCGTGGCAGGAGTTCCCAAAGCCAATCCGCTTTTTCTCGCAGGGGTACTTGGCACCTCCAGAAATCCCTTGGAGGACATCACACCTTCTCGGGTCAGAGGGCGGCTCCGCCCATCACTCCTCCCTCTAGGCGCCCTCATTCTATATTGTGTACACGGACGCTAAGACATGCTTCATTGTATATGATAATAATCGAACTGAAATCAAGAAACAAACAAAAAATTCTATGTTTCTATGAGCATACAGAATCCGTAAATAACTGCAGCTAAATTTCAGCATTTCGAGTCATGTTTTAGTCATGTTTTCGGATAAAATGACGCTTTCTTGAACACTTGTAAGTACTCGCGTTTGAGTGAGCTTGTGAAGATATCATATTAGAACAAAGTAAAAATATAAATCATTAATATAAATCAAGCAGAAGTTATGAGTCTTCCAGCTACAGATAAAGAAGCGAAAGCAAACTCACGCACGCTCTAAAATTCATTTAAGAATATACGAATACCATATTTTTCAAATTTAGTGTCATATTTGGAACTCTTAGCCAACTCTTGATCATGCGACGAAGTTTGTTATTCTAGTACATGGATTATAGGGAATACTACACTCGAAAATTTCTGATAATTTGGATCTTATTGATCGTTAGTGTGTAGTTGAGTTGGAATATATGGCAGACGGAAGCAGGAAAGTGTATGTTTTCAAATATCTTAGCTATTACAGAAAACGTTGAGTTGATTATCCGGAAACTTTGATATGCTCCTTTCAAAATAGGTTCTTCTAATTTTGAGAAGGTAATCGGGTTCTTGGCCACTTCTGGTCACCCATTTATCAAAAATTCTTGGTGCTAAATTAGTTCAATCAGATGACCAGTAAGATACAACTGAAGAACTAGATCCTCTGATATTTCGAATGGGCGGGTTTTCTACTCAAAAAACTGTGCAAATTTTCTCTTCTGAGGATAATGTTCATGGTCATTTTTGAAAGGTTGGCGCAGCAGAAGTTTTCTTTCCAGGCCTCCTCACCTGAGGGATGATAACTATGTTTTTCGTTCATCTGTTTTCTCATATTACCTAATAAGTAAATCTATGTTCTCGCTGCTGGCTCACCTCACAATGAGACCAGTAAATGGGTGGAGCAATGGGCGGAGAATGACCTCTGAGGTGCGAAGGTGCTAGAATCCTCCTGGGTGCGAATGCTGGTGCGAAGTTGGTGCGAGGAAAGGTGCTGGGAACTCCTGCACGCCCTCCGGCAATATTGACGCTAATGGGTTACGATTCTTAACTTCACACCTCAAAACGAGGCCGACGACGATATGTGAAAGGAATATTCCATGCAACTTATTTGCAAGTGCAAGTCATCTTTGAAAGTGCGCTTTGCTTCGTCAAAATCATAACCTGATTTATTGGAATTCTACAAAGTTTCCTTTTTTGAAAGTCCAGCTGACATTATCGGTAAGATCAAATTTATTTTTTTTGCAAAACTATGTGAAGTGCTCTTAAAAGTTTACTCTGTTTTTAGAATCACAGAATTTTTTTTCAGTTTACAACTTTCATCACCGAATTTCTGGGTTTTCAAAATTGATAAATAAAAAGAAGCAACGGAAAAGCGTTGTCTACAAACTTGCTTCATTCGCGCATTTTTTAAATTTCCTCCTACTATCTTTTTTCTTTGGGTTGCAAGCGCCAGCACTTTAGCGAGCTACGTAAGCTGTTCTAGCAGCTAGGATTTAGTGTATCGTTAGGTACCCGCTGTTAAAGTGACCAAGGGGCGTGGCTTAGTGCTTACCACTGATGGCTGGGTACCTAACGCCCACACCTCGACTGGGTACCTAACGCCACGCACCCAGTCTAAGTTGAAGCCAGCTCTACAAATGGCGCTTACCGCTTCTCGAAAGACCTCATAAGAGAGTTATTCAAAATCAAACAGTGTGCACATCTTTTTGGGACACCCTGTATAGCCTTGAAAATAAAAGCTGAAAAAATTTGGAAATTTTTTGAAAATTTTCGGGCGTTCTTCAGTTTGGGTGTGGAAGTCTGAAGGCTTAGAAATAATGTTTTGCCATTCTTTTGAAGGAATTTTTGCGTTTAGAATGCTAGTAAATCGTAGTGGTCTGACAAATTTCCGCCAGTCTAACTGTATCCTCGAGTCTTTATAACTCGATATGTGAGTCTGCACACTATGCGCGGCAATCGACGACACCCTTACTAGTAACTCCTCGTTAAACTTTTCTAAGGTAAGCGAACTGTGGAAAAGCGTGCTACTAGCTAACACATTTCCGGTAAGTCAAGAGAAACAAGAAACAAG